TTGTGTAGCTCGGGCTGAACACCAGAGTCTCCCCGTATGTCCAAGAAGCGAACTTGCCGAAGCCCATGAAGTCGGCTTTGCTGGCCGGTACCTGATTCTCCATCAAGTACTGCATCATCTTGCTCTTCAGCTGGTCGGAGTTCATGTGGTTCGTGTAGTCCACCTGATAGCTGTCCATGAGGTTCTGGAGGGCCGCCTTGGTCTTGCACTTGTTCACCATCTTGGCAGCGTCCCTCTCGCTCATGGGCGCAGTCTCCTTCTGCTCGTCCACTAGCTCGGCCAGGCGAGCTTTCAACTGGATCTTCGTCCAGTTTGACGGAGCCTGCTCGCCAAACTCCAACAGTTTGAGCTGAAGCTCGGACTTCGTAGGGTTGCCCGGGGCCATGCTGTTGCTCGTGCCTGAGACTCAAACCAAAGGGGACCTCCGAGTCTTGGGAAATCAGAGCCTGATGTTCCGCGGAAAACCTGGGCTTTGCGTTCCTGAAAGGAAGAGAGAAACCATGCGTGCGAAGAAAGGTCACATCCTCGGGACTCATTCTCGAGAAACCAAATGTGGAATATCCTACCAAGACCATGCGGTTACCTACCCAAGGGAGAGTATGATGCCACTGCTTAGGCTCAAACACAACAGGTTGTCTCAACTGATGAACATCTCCTACAATGGTCTGGTTACCACAGGTCATGCTTTTCTGGGGCCTTCGGGAAGAAGGGTTTCTACTCTCAACCCACAGTTCCCCTCCAGTAGATGGTTGCTCCAAAGACACCACGACATTTTGGGACTTCAGAATGTTCCACCTATCTCTATGAGGGGGTGATTGCACGTTACATGACACACATATGGACGTGGTCTGGATCCCGGGACTTGTGAGCCTCAGCACCTTAGTCAGCACACGGGTGGTCCAGGGGAGTCTACGGGTGGTTCGAGTGATACCTACAACCCCACCATACGTGAAAGCTCCCACAATCACATAGGCACTAGGCTTCACGGTGCTTGTTGCGTTCCCTTCCTCAAGAGGTCTGGAGGAACTTGAATGCTGTTGTTGAACAAGATGCCACGGAACCTCTCTGAGAAACCTCTTCAGATTTGAGAGTGGGGCATGTGTTTGAAGAAGAAGTTTGGCCTGGCCATCAATATCGTCTAACACTCGCGTATTAGGCCTACTCCCTTCGGGGTTTTCCGGGGATCCAACCTTTCTAGGGCAAGACGGAATCTCAACATGAACATGTGCAAGGCAAAGGGAATCTGATGCAGCACTTGGCTGGACTGGCGCGCAAACATTTTTACGGTCCTTCTGGGAAGCGGGAGCGCCAGATGCCCCCAGAAGTTGCTGTCCCTACTCATCTCTTGCAGGCGGGCTGTTCTCTGGTTCATCACCATAGAGAGACCTAAAGGGGACCCTACGTTCCTTAGCATGTTTGAGAACATCCGCCACAAGAGGAAACAGCTGATGACCAC